AGGGCTATGGGCCAGTGACAACCTGGGACCTGCTGGTCTGCTGCCTCCAGCAGAAAGAAGACTGGCCTGGATGTCACTAACATCAGCCTGTGGTGGGCAGCGGTAGTCTTAATCATGCCCAGTTCAAGAAAACTCTTAATAGTGATTTCACACACCTACACATTTACAGAGCAAGCACATTCCTGAAAGATAAGCTGTCTTACTGAAGTCTTCCTTAAATGCTCTTTTCTGTGACAGCATCATTTATGGACCTCCCATTCCCTACCCCCACCACCCCGAGCAACAATGACACAAAAATCTTCAGATCGATGACCATTCCCATCTCAATGGACACCACCAACAGCAACAGCAACTCCTGCAACAAAGCCATGTGACTCTGGTAGAAAAGGTAGCACTGCTTTTGATGGCAACACATCTGAGATGTAACAAGCTTTTATTGCTATTGGTATTATTATTATTTTCCTTGGTAATGTCCAATGAGCTATGGCTGATATTCTGCATGATACATAGCATCAGGGATTGCAAAGAGGAGAGAGAGAGGAGTGCAGAAAGGGTGAGAGGAGGCACAATTCATGATGAGTATTGACTCCTCTTTATTTTTACATAAAACAAGATTTCCTTCTATGACATTTTATATAAATTTCTGGCTGTAGTCAGTCTACACTGCCCGGCTACAAGCCCATGCAAATAGGGTTTATGATGTCACACGGACATGGACACGTCTGTGCCAGGAATATAAGTGATGTAAAATCAAGGAGGAATTTCATACATATATGGCTTCCTAGATGCATGCTGGTGACCATATTTTCAAGTTTCCTGATACCTTAACTAGAATATTCCACAATGAGCCAGATACCTTCTGTCCAAATATGGGCCTTGGTAGGAACACTTGTATATTTTAATGTTATGCATAGAACATTTCTATATTGTAAACTATTATGATCGAGTAATTTTCACCAATCACTGGCAAGCTTGCTTATTTGCCCAAATCCCCAGAGAGAACAGAATCTGTAGAACATTTGGAATACAGAAAGAATCCAGGAAGAAAAGGTATGAGGTACAGTGGCAGCGCCTCCCACAACCAATCAGAATTCTGTACTCATGTCCATCCTTATGGATCTCCACGTTCTAGACTGTCTCGTTGGTTTTCAGGAAGAATTAGTGAGCCTGGATTACTTGCCTGCTCTTACTCCATAAAGAGCAATAGGCTTCTTTAGGAAACCTAGGATCTTCTAAGACTAAGCCACCTCCTCAACTGCTTATTGGCTCCTACAAAAACATTTCAGGCAGGGAGAGAGAGAGAGAGACAGAGAGTGAGAGACAGAGAGGGAATTTACATGACCACTACATGTCTATCTACCATTTTTCCCAGGTTCTGCTGACTTAATCCTGAATTAATGAGCCTGTCACATGATATCTAATAAAAATGACTGCACTAGAGATCCTGCTTGGAATCTGCCACATATTTGGTCCAAGGCCGAATCGATTTCATCTATATTTAACACATGCTTGTTTTCTGTCTCACTTGTCTCCCCCACAGCCCATGGCTCAACTCTTTTTTTTTTTTTTTTCCCATCTGGAAAACTTATCTCCTAAAATGCTACCATCAATCAGCCAAAGACACTCTTCCCGACAGAGCGTCTGCCAGTCTGACTAAGCACAAGTAGTCTCTAGTTTGGGGATGCCTCCCACACTCTCTAGCGCCGTGTGTTTTTCTAGCCTGCCTAACCACACGAGTGCAATTTGGGATATTTATACTTACCTCTAGTTTCTATCAGGATAACAGCATTACTTTGACCGAATGGGGCATAGGGCATGGTGGAGGGGGTGGGGGAGGATATGGGATGACACGGAAGTTGCCTGTGCTGCTTATCTACCTACTTTTACGTTTCTTTCTTTGGATTTTTGCATTTCCACCCATTTTGGTCTACACTGGCTCAGTGCCTGCTCAAAGAGTAGAAAAATAAAATGCTTACAAAAATGCATGAATTCGGTCCCCAAAAACCTTCCCCAGACACCAGTGCTGTTCCCATTTCCAAGCCTTTCCTTGTCCACACCAACTCCCCATACATATAAGCCTCTAAGCTTAAATACAGCACAAAAGAAGGGTCAGAAAAGAAAGCAAAAGGTTGGCAGCAGAAGCCAAGCACCGGGAAAAGGGAAGGAAAAAGGGGGAGCAGGAGACAGGCGGCCCCCTCCCTCTCCCACAAAGTTCCAGTCGTGAACACACACCCACCGGCCACAGCAAAAAGCACTGTGCGTGGGCACAGGTGGGTCCCAGCCTCCCTGCCTGGATGCAGCTTAAGCACTGAGCCTGAATGAAGACTTTCATTGCTGTTTGCTGTTTTTGTTGGCCAGTAGCCATGGCAAACATTTGCAGGTGGCTTGGCCAGATTTTGACACTTAAATATTTGAGGTTGTGATAAAAATCAGAATATTACTACAATATGGTTCTGTGCAGTCTCAAAAAAAAAAAAAAAACCTATCTGCAATTTCAAATGCTCATTTAAAGACACAGTCTCCAGAGGAAACTCATGTTTTAAAATAAGTACTCATTTCCTCTTTGCTGGGAGAAATAAAAGAGTCAACCATCCCCAAATGTTACCACCTAGAGTTTCATTCTGAATCCACTGGTGAGATGGGTTGGGTTGTTCCTTGCTGAGCCCCCGTGGCCATCCGGGCAAGGTTTTGCATGGGTCACATGGGGAAAATGGAAATGACAGGATGTGTGGGTTGGAATCAACATGGTAAGCACGACAGGGAAGGATCTGAAGAAAAGAAACAGCCTCCCTCAAGCTTGGCAATGACACAGAGTCCCAAAAGTGACAATTATCTCCTAGAACACACCAGGAGAGACACACAGCACCCCAGGATTGGGAGTAAATGAGAAGATGGAGTGGGTTGGGAGGTCCCATGTACCAGAGAAACACTCCCAACCATCCAGGCACAGTGACATAGCCTGGAAATGTCACCCAATGATACAGCCCTGGGCCAGCTGGGTAAATTGTTGACAGAGTCAACACCCATCTCAGAATTGAGTGCTAACCCTTAAAAGATTGTTTCACAAAACCCAGCCTTGTACTAACAATGGCTGAATACTAAGGGCCTCCAAGAGGGTAGTTGGGTTGGGGGTTGAGGGGGAGGCAGGAGAACTCCAGGGGGGAAGGAATGTTATAAAATTGCTAGTAAACTCCAACACATTTTATGTTTTTTCCCCTTGAAAGAAAAATAAAATAATTATAATTAGCTGGCCTAACTGTGAATTGTCTGCCTAAAGCCAAGCCACTAAAGCAAAGGAGTCCAGTGAGATTTAGATGCGGTCTTTAAAGAACCCACCCCACCCTCTTAGTATATTATAGGTTTTTGCTTTAGATGGTGGCAATATTTGCTCCCATAGTCATTTGAAAAGAAAAGAAATATTTCACAGGGATACTAGCTCATTTAGTATTGGCTTCTTCCAACAAAGCTAAGCATTCAAATGGCCAGAATAATATTCTGTTTCTTAAAAGGGAAACCAAATGTACCTATGACAGACTCACAAAACAGTCATTGCCCAGAGCACTCATTTGTTAAGATGGGTCTTCACAAATCACAGCCCATCTGGGAAGCTGAGAAACGTTGAGAGACAAAGTACCCCCTCTTCTAGGGCATTCTAAGAAGGAAGAAGCCAATGTCGTTCCTGGTGCTCGCTCTTGATCTGAAATTCTACAGGCATTAATAAAGGAGGGGAGGGGATAGCAGCTGCCTGGCTCATTGGTAAAGCATGTGACTATTGATTTTGGGGTTGTGAGTTCAAGCCCCATGTTGGGTGTAGAGATTACTTAAAAATAAAGTCTTTAAAAAACAAAAACAAAAACAAAAATAAGGAAAGACACACTGGCAAATTGTGGGTCAGCTTTTAATGCTCTTTTTTTTAATCACCATATCCAATATTCAACTGAATATTCACACTAAATTCTGATGCACATACCAAACACCACAAATTCGCTTTCCTATTTTAAAGAGAGAATTCTGGGAACGTACCGCAAGCAGTTCTCAGCTTCCAGCAATATAAATTTATCAGAGCTCTTTGGCTTAAGTTACTACCTTTTCTTCCTGAGAACTCGACTGCTCTTAAATCTTTTATTTCCTCTTCACTCTGCTCTTGTGAGGGTGGAAAGAAGACACACCACCATCATCCTGAAGATAAGGAAGCAGGCCAGAGATTCTGCATTTCTGAGAAGCTCACCGCTCATGCCCAGGCTGCGGGTCCTCAGACCACACTCTAAATAGCCAGGGGCTAGAGCTGTCCCCTGAGACTTAGAAGTGAAAATTCTTTCCATCCCATAATACAGAGTGTCTGGGATTCTGACAGGACCTTTCTGCCAATTTTGCTCAATATCATACTATTGTCTTTTTTACATAAATGAGGGGGAAAGGGCTTGCTTTTTTTGTTTTGTTTTTTTGTTGTTGTTGTTTTGTTTTGTTTTGTCTATTCCAGGAATGAGCCTGGGCCAATACAGAGGAAGGGGAGAGCTAATAAAGAAGTATTAACAAGGAGAAGAAGCAAGGAAGAATCATCAAAGGAAGGAAGACTGGAAATACATGAAAGGCCCAGGTGATGTGCTCAGCAGATCTTAGGAACCAAGGGACACACTCTTGGGGAGGGAAGTAAACTCTTGAAACTTCCCTCTACATCCTTAAGCATTTGGCCTGAAAACTATGTTCTCCTCTCCATAACATCCAAGGTGCTTTCCACAGTCACAAATCTTGTCTGAAGAAATGATGGCACAGAATGACTTGCTTTGGCCCCTGAAGTCCAGGACAAAACAGTCTCCACCCCATAGGGACTCCTCTCCCTTCTCCCACTAAAACATCATTCTACATGTCAGGTGATCTCACACCAACCAGGAACACCAACTTCTGTCTCATCCAGTCTGAGCACCAGAAACAAGGAGAAACTCCAAAACATTCTCTGAGCTCCAACCAGGCCCCAGAGACAGCCGAGGAAGTCTCCTTACCCGATCTGGCGGTTGGTGGAAGGTGCCTGTGTGATGACAGAGCTGGACTGGGGTGACGGCATGGCTTGCTGAATCACAACGCTGGTGTCATGGTTGGGCATCCGGGTGCTGCCAAGCTGGTGAGCTCCGGGCCCCGCCATGGCCCCACCAACTGTGTTATGCATCGAGATATTCTGCCCAGAGAAGACAGAGGGGAAGGTCAGAAGAAGTCAATGTCTTATTGTGCTCTTAAGCTCTCAGAGGACGAAATTGAGAATCTGGTCATGTCAACTAAGTAAAGAGTTATGGCTTCTGGCAAGACATGGATCCATCCATCTTGTTATAACTTACAACTATTAGCAGATGAAAAATAACTATCTACCCTAACAGTCAAGCATATAAGAAAATACCTTAAAGTTCACTAATCACTCTGTCGCCATCCTGATGTGAGGTTTATATCAGAGACATTTGGTGCATATCTTCCCTGACTTGGTGTGATATATACTGCATTTGAGAATGATTTCCATTGTAAGTGCACAATACTATGATTTACTGCAGAACTGCTCAGCAACCTGCTTTGAATGACACTCACACTGGGTTATTGTTTCTTTTGCAGTCCTAGGAGAGTGACCAATCAGCTATTTTTTTCCACCAGGAAACTACTACTTTTCCAAATCATAATCTGGGTACTCATGACCCAGCCTCAGCTACCTGGAGAGTGAGGATGGATAACTAGAACAGATGACTGGGTGTCTGGAATCCAATGCCAAGAGCAAAATTTGCAACTTTCTACTGCATTTCCATAAAATCAATCTCTAATGATTTTAATGGAATAATGGAATACAGAACAATGACTGCTTGTTCATTCACTTGTTCACGGTCTTCCTCTAGAACGCAGAATGTTTGTGTTCATAGCTCTCTCTCGTGGTGCTAGGAACACAGTAGGCACTCAGCAAACGTACGTCGCACAAATAAACTAGTGAAGGCATAAATAAGACATCTGAGTCACTTAAGGGAACTAACATCATGTGCTTATTTCTGATGACATGAATGAAGGTTTCTTTGTTTAAAATGCAAAAGTAAGGTAAAACATGCAAGGTCAAGCTGTCTTAAAAGACAGCTCTTCCTATTAAAAAAAAAGTCACTGGGACAAAAGAAGAGGATTCACATGGAGGTAGAGGAAGTCTCATCAACATGGCAGAGCTAAAAGGTAAGAAATTCAGAGCCTAAAAAAGAAAGGGAAAGTACAGGGTAAAGCCAAGTAAGTGGGCCTCTGTAAACAGCTAAGCACAGCTCTTCAGCTTAGAAGGGTAGTGAAATTCGAGAGGTCAGTTGGACAATGGGCTGAGGATGGCAGGAAAGAAATGGAGTGTCACTAGCAATTTACTAGAGGGAAAATATATATCTGTCTGCGCTCTGGGGTAAGCAAAGAAAAAAACAAATGTTACCCAGGAGAACCAGAAGTGGTTCTTTGAAGTTCTTCTGCAAAGAACAGGATTTCCTGCACTATGTGTTAAATGATGGTGATAACATGTATGGTATTTGGGGTGGCTGTGTCCATCACATTGCGCCTTTCCCAGATTTCTGATTTCTAAATCCTGACCACACAGTTTGTCAGGAGTCCAGATGGAAACTGGGCACCTGGCTTAGACTGTGAGCCGACTGTGTTATCGTGGGATCCCAGAGGCATGAACAGGCTTAAATACACACACGTGGTCCAAAGGCTCCTCTTATACACTGGAAGGTTTTTCTGACGTGGGAAAATATTGGGGTTGGTCAAAGCAAGATGAAAGGAAATGGTGATTTGTGTTGGAGTGGCAGTGCAGGGATACGCTTAAGTTCTTTTTATAGGGTCTAGAGACTTGAACTAAAATAATAATGAAAATAAAGATAATTGTGTTACTTCTTTTGAAAGTAAGCCTTAACATATTTCCCTGGGTCCTAATGAGGCCTTGATGAAGTCAACAGTTACAGATATTTATTTTTTCTCCGTTGTTTGGATCCTCAGAGATACTCAACAATTTTCCATCTTGCTCACAGTCATCTACTTTGCCAGTAATAAATCTCAGGCACAGAAGGACTTCAGACTTTCCTTTTAGAATTGTTTCTCTTGGGGCACCTGGGTGGCTCAGTGGGTTAGGCCTCTGCCTTCAGCTCAGGTCATGATCCCAGGGTCCTGGGATCGAGCCCTGAGTTGGGCTGTCTGCTCAGCAGGGAGCCTGCTTCCTCCTCTCTCTGCCTGCCTCTCTGCCTACTTGTGATCTCTGTCTGTCAAATAAATAAATTTTTTTAAAAGTCTCTAGAATTATTTCTCTTGTGCTGTGCTATCAAGGATTATGTATGAATAGAGCTACATAATCTGAAATTTAAAATAATAATCTTTAAATTGTTTTTAAAAAAGGATATAAAATGTATGAACTCTCCTTGAGTTACCCTTGATACCTCTTTTCCATCACTCCCATAGGCAGACCCCAACTACTGCAAATTCAACCTACACACCCTTCATCTCTTTCTATCTTTCATTCTCTTTCCATTTTATGTTCTACCAACCTACACCCAACCAGCATCATCTCCTTTCCTGGACTAGACAGTGGTCTCCTAACTGGTCTGTCACTCACTATGGCTTCCCTTTCTCCTTTTGCCATGGTGATCTTTTTGAAAGACAAAACTAATTACATCATACAATTTTCCTTACTCAACCACATACCTCCACCCCCACCCTACAAGCTTCTTAGATGACTTTCATGGTTCAGAAGACATTGAGAGCATTCTTTGTGTGACCTACAAGGCCTATAAGGGACCATTCCTACCTCCCAGCTCATCTTACGCTATTCTCACTCTTGCTCTCCGCTCTTCACTCCAATTTTCTAGCATGTTCTTGCCCTCATACTGCTCACCTCCATTTCAGCACAGGGGCTTGAGGTATGCTATTTTCTGCTACCTGTGCCCTCCCCTGACTCGACCCTCAAATCTCAGACTAAGCATCACATGAGGAAGACTTCCTTGACCTCTATACTGATGGGCACCCTCTCCTTTGCAGTACTTTTTATAAGTTCACAACTGTTTTGGTTTGATTAACATGTTTCTTCCTAGAGAACATAAGCACAATCTGAGAAGAGACTAAATCTGATTTTACTCCTCATTGCCTCTGTTGCCTAGATCAGTGACTGGCATATAATAAGTGCTGAATAAATACTGAGTAAGTAAATAAACTATAAAATGATGTTCCTAAAATATTCAGTATGAGGAGGTCTTTTATTCTCTGGTCAACTTGTGAGAGTGCTAACTTTTGTCTATTTACCTTGAGATCTCAAAGTAGGCTCATGGTAATAGAGTTTTGGATATTAAGGTGCTTGTTTGATTATGGGCTAGAGAAATAGAAGGGACCAGAGCTAAGAAGAAACCCACAAACCTGGGATGTAGACTGGAAGTAAAGCCTTTGAGAAAATATTAAATGAGCCCTTGGAGGGAGATGCCAAGAAGTGAGCTTTGAATCTTTGAGCACTTTGACACAAAGGTTGGCAACAACTATTTCTTATATCCAGCATGAACACCAGGAAAAACCAATCTGTGCTGTAGAACAAAGAAGCTGGTTTGATTTCTTCAGAGGGAAGCGTGTTAAATGAAAGAAAGAACGACCTCTTTAATGAGAATCATTAAAAAGAATTTTAAAAACTATCCAGGACTATAACTCATATCCTCTCCCACCAAAATTTAAGACATCTCTTTGTCTCTGTGACCTCCACCTGAGATGGAAAAGGCTCCTAAAAGTTGTATTCTAATTCTTCAATAATCTCCTCTTTCTACCATACACGAAACCCACAAATTCTCCACACTCCTTCCCCCAGACCCAGAGAGTAATTTCAAAATGTTTTGGAAAAATAAACAATTAGGCAAGCATTATCATTTCATATTAAGAGAAGATTATTTTTTTTCTTTAAACATTACATAGTAACTCAAACATGAAATTATTTTCTGAGTTCATATTTTCCCAATTATGGGTTCAAAACCTGTCTTCATTGATAAAAAGAATGGCATTTTACCTCTGGATAAATTAAATATCCAATTTCAAAAACACAACGAGTGACCACATCTTGCAGAGTTATTTTTGCTAGTATAGGTGCAAAGATTTGGGGCTGGCCAAGCAGTGTCACCAAACCAGCAGATGGGGGTTAATATGCAGGGAAGGATCGGAGGTATTCCTTGAGGCTCAGCCCCTGGCCTTCTCTTGTTCAACATTTTTATCAACTGCTTGGATAAAGATGTAAAAATCATGCTTGTCAAATCTACAGTTGACACAATGTTGGGAGGCACAGCTTATATTCTGGGTAGTAGAGTCAGGTTTTTACTTGAGCCAAATTTGTGATCTAGCCTCCAAAAATGCTAACATAAATCTACGTTACTATAGGATAAGTGCAATGTCCAGATCAAGGGAAGTAATTATTCCACTGGAGAGCATGCTGAACTGACCACATTTGGCCACCACATTTTAAGGGGGAAATTGACAAATAGCAGGGAATGAAAGCAATGAAGGCATCCAAAATGCATCATAGGAAGAACCGTAGAAGAACCAGGGAATATTTAGTCTGAAGAAGAAAAGACTTAGAGGGTCATGCTAACTGCATTCAAATATTTGTGGGATTAGACATAGTCTATGCTGCTCCAGAGGGCATAATTTCAAAAAAATGGGATCATGATGATAAAAGCCGATGATGACTGTAATTTGAGCTCTTATTTTGAAGCAACCACTATGGTAGATGCTTTATAAACTCAGCTCTAATCCTTGCAATGACACTTCAGGGTCAGCATATTTATCCTCAATTTAAGATGATAAGGAGAGTAAAATTCCTCACCATCACTAAAAATATGCCATTCACCTCTAGCCACCCTCACTCCTTCTGGACTGATCCTTTAAAAATACAAATTTAATCTTTTGTCCAAAGACAAAACAAGCTGTCTTATAAAGCACTGAGATTTCTGGCATCGGAGTTAAGCCAGTAGAGACTAGCGGCCATCTGTCAAGGATGTCACCAAGAGGATTTTTGCATCAAGGAGGGAAATGGGGCTACATGACCTCCAAGGTTTCTTCTATTGCTAAGATTCTCTCACTTACATGATCCATGGTTCATGCTTTGGCTCAGTGCTTCCAAACAATTAGTAATGTGTGATAATGTTGGAAATACACTGGCTTAGT